GCATCTCTGGACAGCGTCTGGACTATAAACTGAATGGAAAGGCACCAAAAGAAGCATTTTCTGATTTATTAAAAATAACATTATTTTGAAATATATATTAAATATATAAATAATATTAAAATAATATAAAAATATATAAAATAATTTCTGATTTATTAAAAATAATAACAATAAAGAAACCCAAAGAAATTCTTAAGGAAAATTCCAAGGGAAATTGACGTAACTACACAGGAATATGAAGGGAAAATTCAGGTTGAAAATTGGTTGTGGAAAAAACTAATTAGTGGCTGGGGGACCCTCTTGATGAGTTGCCGTTATTAACTACAACCTCCAAAGCAAATGTTAATGTCTTAATTAGAAGCACAATAATAATCTCCTGGATTTCCCAATGGGAAACAAACAAACAAAGAAACAAAAAACATTTTTCTACCATTTTGATGCCTTTAACTATGTTGCACGCTTTTCTCAGACAGACCTGGAAGAGAAGGGGAATGGAGGAGTGCGTGCTTTTGGGATACTTGGGGTCAGAGCAACTGAGTTTGCTTTCCAGGAGTACACTTGGTGGCTTTCCCAGTAAAGATACAGCCTTCCAGTTCCAACCAGCCCACAAGCCTGATGTTTGTAGTTGTCAAACTGGTCTTAAAACATCTCATTTTTTTAATTTTGTCCTCATGCAGTCCTGCTTCTTTGTTATTAATCAGATCGAGTCAGCCTTCTGCAGAAACTGTGACAGCGATGTCATCGCTCTGTTCTCTGTCAAATCCCTCCCCAAATCCCTGCAGCTGCTTTGGTAAGCTTACACTTCTCCTGTAGAGCCCCTTGATGTGTAAAATGTATGCCATGTTTTGATCAAAGGAGTTCTTGTACTTAATGCAAATTTCAGCACACTTCTGGCAGTCAGATGTGGATGTATAGATCTAATCCTCCCGATCGCCAGAGCGACACCGGGCCCGTGGGACAGCCGTCCAGCCAGCAAGGAAGTCAGGGGTGGCTGCCGAGGAATAGTTTGACTTCCTTATTTTAAGACTTACTTAAGCCTTATCTGTTTCTGATAAGATTAGCTAATATTACTTCTGGACACCTATGGTGGTCCAGTCTAGATGACCACCTTTGAGAAAAGTTGTCCTTTTTTTTTTTCTTTTATTTACTTCTCAGGATTTGAGCAAATGGGAAAACAAAAACACTCTCATTTCTGCAATCCTCGCTGTTGTTTAAACAACATTTTAGACATCTGAGAATAATTTTCTGTAGATTTATTTTCAAACAGAGGGAAATACATTAAGTCGAAAAACTTTTTTTTTGGATGTTGATGGTCTTTGCTGGCCAGCTTCATATTCAGTGAATGATTTTGAATTGTTGTGAGTATTGATTCTTTTAATACCCCCCTTATTTTCCACTCTGTTTATTCAGTTGTAGTATCTCCAGCTTTGTTACCAACCTGATTTTTAATTTTAGGTAGATGGACTTCTGAGAGTCGTGGCAATGTGACCAGTCATCTTGAGGTCTGTCCCAGAATCGTGACGACTTTGATGCCATTTTGGTTTGGATTTTAGGAATGGTATACAGGCCTGGTGCTTGTTCCTTTCCTCTGAGTTTTAGGGTTCTCCCCATCTCCCCTAAAGCTGTGGTAATGGAAATTTTATTCTTTCTCTGCACTCCCACAGCAGACTGATGGCTAGGGGCTGCAGTTGCTCTGCTGGTCCAAAGGTGTCTTTGGCTTTGATAGCTGCATTGCAGTGGTGAAGGAGACACCTTCTAGCACTTAGTTCTGGGGTGGGGCAAGTCTCCTGATCCCATATTCAGAGACGATCCCCCTGCATTACATTCTCCTCTTGTTAAAAAACAATTACTTTAAGTTATAGTCAGGATATTGCTGACCTGCATGAATTTATTCTCCGATGGCTGCATCGGGAGTCCCTGCTGTCTGAATGAAGTCATTATTTGGGAACTGCTGAATAAATGACCTCATAAGTTTAAGTCAGCCTGAAGGAGCGTATCTAGGTAGAAGACTTCTGTTGTTCCTCTAATTTTTTTCATCCTGTACTGCTTTGAAAGATGAAATAAAAATAGAATTAAAAAAAAAAAAAGACTGATTTTCTTGATTTCAGGTCCATGCTCTTCAGTTGCCTAATTACAAAATGATAATTTACTATCATTTAGGACACTGAAGAAGAAGGATACCACTCATGCACAAAGTCTTTGAATGGAGCCTCTGCAACAGATAAAATGTGGAGTTAATTATCATAGCAGATATGTTTACAAGATGGTGATGCATCAGAAAATCAGAAAATACTTTCTTTGCAGGATTGTCCAATTCACACATATTTTATTCTGTGTCCCTTCGGTGCTGACTGATGTTCACTGGAGTGTAGGTACTTGCAGTATATCGATGAAGAGAGATTTTCTACAGTGTCTTTTGTGCCACCAGACACTCTTAGTTCTACCTACTGGTTTCTCAGCACAGGCTCAATATCTCTGCCTATTTTCGAGATGTTATGTGAAGCGCCTTAATATCTGACTACTGCAATGCTACACCTGAGTTTCTGCACTTTGTAGGAAAAGCATTGCATCAAAATAAGGAAGAGAGAAAACCTTTGGCTAGACTTAAAGCAGCGTGCTTTGCTTTGAGGGACTGAATTAGTTGATTATCACAGAATTTCTAGGTTGGAAGAGACCTCAAGATCATCGAGTCCAACCTCTGACCTAACACTAACAGTCCCCACTAAACCATATCCCTAAGCTCTACATCTAAACGTCATTTAAAGACTTCCAGGGATGGTGACTCCACCACCTCCCTGGGCAGCGTGTTCCAGTAAATTATGGCACATACAGAGTGAGTTTGTGCTTTGTAGGTCCCTTCCAACCCAACTCATCTCAGTAACTCCTGAAGAATAGACCACGTTCTTTAAGTGATGTTCTTCTATATCCTGAGGTTGTGTGCCATTTTGATTTGACATGGCAAGCACTGGAAAACACAAACATTTCTCTCAGGTTCCTTTATTCTGAAACCAATCGCTGTAGCAGAAAGACTGCACAAAGATTCATGCCCTTTGTGGCAATCTCACATTGTTGCAAGGCACTCAAAGCTATAGAAAAGCAAATTGATGGCTGCTGAAACACCTATAACACATCTTTAAATAGAAATTTGATCTCTTATCTGAAGTTTACAAAAAAACTTCTACAGTTCCAGGGACGGAGTGGGGTTGTGTGTAACGGAGGAGCAAATGTTTCCTTACTGGTTTCTTTTGATGTTGCTAGATCAGCTCCTCTGTCGGCCTTTTTTATTTGTTGGTGTTAATTATGTACCATGCAGGTGCCAAAGTGTAGGGATTTTTCAAGCTCCTGTTATTAGTTCCCCCAATGCTGTCTTTTGCTATGATTTAAATCAGGGACGTGTCCGGAATGTAGGAAAAAATAAAGGCCGTTAAGATGTTTGAGAGATTTCATGCTTAAAAAAACAAATTGTCTTTAGAGGTACTTAGTGGTTCCCCTTTGCTGTAGGGAAGGGAGACCTGCAATTTGTCTGAAAACAGAAACTCACAGGTATTGAGGTCAGGAATGGAAATAAAATTCATTGCTTCTAGCCAGATGGCAATGAACATCTTAATATTTGCAGAGAATGTTATTTTCCTTAAGTTATGTGTTGAACATCATATGTAAATCTTCTGAGAAGCATATGGTATTTTGGGAATATTTCTGCTTTTGGTCATTATTATGATTTAGTAAGAAAAAAAAAAAAATCTCATTGAGCACATCAAGGTATTACAGTGACCAGCTCAGAAGCTCTGAAGCAGCTGCAGAACCACCAGTTGAAATGTCTGGGTAGCCAAACAAAGAAACATTAGGTTGTTTGCAGCATTTCTTCCAGATAATGGAAGCTTTGCATGGCTCTGAGCCTTTTTCATTTCCCTCCTCTCCATCCTCGTTGGGAGCAAACAGGCCTGTTGCTTCGTGGGATGCAACACTTCCAAAAAGCCTTCCCAAACGATGCAGCAGAACTGATCTGAGCGAGGCATCTATAAAGTCAAATCAAGAAAATCAAGTCAAAGAAGGGGACAATGTGCATCATCTTACCTTGAATGATATGTCTGCAGTCACCTGAGTCACGCTCTGACCTTACTGATGAAATCTTTATGGACCTTCTTGAGTGCTTAGAGCATCAGCTAGCTACAGAAGATAAAAGGAAGGGAAATTAATACCTATATTTTAGGATCCTCTCCCAAATCCACAAGCAGAGTCATCCAAAGGGGTGAAACCCTAGAAGGTCCAAAGGCAGTACGTGTGCTGTCACATCTGCTGTGCCTGCCCTGCATTGATCTGCCACAGCGATGCTCTGAAGGTGCGCAGTGCTCGGCGTCTCCCAGCTGGGAGGCTACCCCAAGATCAGCAGAAAATCTCCATCGGACTTCAGCAGCCTTTAGACCAACCTCAAAGCTCTGCAAAATGCGTGTATGTACTGTAGAGAATTAATACAATCCAGAAATTATAAATAGAAAAGGAGAAATAACTTACCAAAAGTCCCTTCAGGATTCCCAGCTTCCAGTTCCATTTTCAGTTAGCCAAGCCTCGCACAGTTTTACTTAGCAATGTTATTTATATAGCTGGGACCAACCTTATAGATTCTTTACATTATTTCCAAAGTCATTTTATTATTATTATTATTTTTTTTTTCTGAAGACTGATGGCAGCTTTTTTTACCACAGCCCTGTAAAACATGCTCGTGTGTTTTTAAGTACTGCTGGACTTTGGTATAAATTAGTTCTCTTCTTTTACAAAACTTTATATTTTAATTAAATCAGTTATTTATTTTCCAATTGTTGATATTGTTATTGATATCAAATATTTTGTTAATATCAAATATTTTTAACATTAACATAAATTCATCAATTTTTCATGATTGTTGTTGATATCAAATATTTCTATCTTCAAGTCTTACCACTTACCATTACAAAAAAGGTAACTTCCAATGTTTTGTACCTGGAATTACTATCTTAGGAGGCTTTCTTTGATATGGGCCACTTAACCACTGAACTGTCTGAAAGCAGTAGGCACAGTGCCTGTGGAAAAGATACTAATATTAAATTTATATAAAATATATGAAAATTGTCAATAGAATGTAAGGAATTTAAATGTTATTTCTGATTTCCTTGCAGATGAGAGAGTATCTTTTCTCTAGAGCTGGTGAAGAGTTGGAGTCTTTTCCATTTATTTCTAGCAGAAGTTATAAGAAAGTTTGCAGCCCTGGTTTTTGTGGGGATGGATGCAGTCCCTGCATCCCTCCAATCTCTGCCTGAGCAATCCTCCACAGGAAACACAAATTAAGAGAACAAATTCATTAGCAATGGCAGTGTTATTTTAAGCTACCATGCCAAACAATGTTCCCTCAGTAAAAATAATACAAATACTAGACTATTTTCGACAATAAATGAGGACTGTTTCACAGTCCATTTGGCTTCTGTTGTTTTTCTTACACTGCAGCTGTAGCGTCAAATACTAGAATTGCAGGAAAGTCACCTGTGGACTATTCGATGCCCTGAAAACAAGACTTGGTCATGTTTATTTTTAGGTACGTAGACCAAGACTCCTTCATTATTTTGCCCTTTCATTCTAAATTAAAGTATTTATCTCTTGAATTTCAAGAGACATGCTTGATACATTCATTCCTGAGCTAAAATAAGCTGAAGTGAGCCCACAGAGGAAGAGATTGCTATAGGAGAGAGGCTTTTACTACTGCTAAACCAGCCAAATATTTGCAGTGATTCATCCTTTTTCCTCTCTTGTTCAGCAGTAAGTATTTTGGAAGAGCAGAATAAGGAAGGAGCTAATGATACTTCTGGTCCAAAAAGAAATCAAGCCCTTTTTTGGCGATTAATTTGACCTGAATCAAATCCTTCGTTCCTATCATGTGGCCACAGAAGTGAGAACCAGCCCTGTCCATCCTAACTGGGGAGCAAGCCCTTTATCTTGTGGTTTTATTCTACAAGCATATTTTATGCTGGTTTTATTATTTTATTTTATCTTATTTATTTTATTTTTTTTTTTTACATCGGTGCTATTATGTAATATTTACTATTATTCCTGTAAAGGGAAATACTCAGACCTGGGGTACCTGTGCTGAGGAAAGGATGGCACCGCATCAATTAGGACCGTCCCACAGAGGAGGTCAGTTCTGAAAGGAAGCCTCGTGAGTCAGCCCCATCCACCTTGTGGTGTGAGCCTCATCCTGAATTGGCCGAATTCAACCACAAAACAGTTAACTTCCCAGTCCTAGGGTGTACAGTAAGCTAGCCACAAGTCAGAAGCCTCCTTTCAGCCTCCACCCTCCGTTTATCCATGGAGTTGTTTGTGTTTGCTTTTTTCCCAAGGTAGTTTCTTGGCAACCAGGTTCCCCTCTTTCCCTTTAAGGTGCCTCCACCCTCCTAAATGACTCGGCTCCCCATTCACTTTTGGGTCCTTTCCCTTGAGCATCCGCAGTGCATAAACATTAGTTCAGTCCCAGCTGTCCTTGGGATTCGGTCAGATGCTTCCCTCTGAAATAAAAACTGTGTTTAGGTTTGTTCTCTCCAAAAACCACTCCCTGGGGACTGTACAAACAGTTCTATGGGTTTATCTCCCTTTCCCCTATAAAGTCCTCCAACACCCTCCTACAAAGCTGTACACCCTCAAAAATAAATAAATAAAGGAAGGGATTTTACAAACCATGCACATCGCTGCTTTGCACTTCCTTGCATAGCAGCCAGGGATCATTCACCGTGGCAGACAAATTGAGCATCCTCTGACTTCTCAGGCTTGCTGTTTCCCTGATGATAGACAGAATCCTTTGTGCTTTGCTTTTAAGATGCTGAATCTTTGGTGGCAATACTCAAATTATGATCGTCCTCTGCTTTTCACTCCAGCCCCATGCTGCTGTAATCAGTAAAGCTGCTTTGGGGCTGCATTGGGAACTGGGCTGTGGGGTTCACCTAGCTCAAAAAAAAAAAAACACAAACAAGCCATCAGAGTTTTCTTAAATATAGTTAAAAGTTTCTAGATAAATACTCAAAACCATGCATATTAATTGAAGAAGGCAGGAAAACAAACAAACAAACAAACAAAACTTTATTAATTTACCTCTTAATCAGAGTGAAATGGAAATACCTGTTTCTAATAAAATAGGTTAAAGGAACATTCTTGTTCCTGACGCATCGCTCTGTGTCTAAATGAAAACAGTTCAGCCCTAAGTGTCCAGAATGTGCCAAGGACAGCCGAGAACGTGAGAGTCCTTTCCAGAAAGGCTGCTTTACCCACCTGTGTGTTTCAATAACACCTGCACTTCTGTGGTGTTTCATCTGAAGAGCTCAAAGCACGTTACAGACTGAGCTAAGTGGATAGCTAAGGTAAGAAGTATTCTGTCTACCATTGAGTCAGGTGGCACCTCAACAGGGAAAACATCAGGATTAAGGTCAGAAAATGAGTCCTGGCAAAGCTGGAAGAGAAGCAGGAGAGGTACATTTAATAGGATCGATAGCAGCCAGCTGCCTTGCTGCAGCTGCGCTCGGGGAACGTTGATCTTATTCTTGTTGATGCAAGTGAACTTCTGGAGACAAGGAATAGCACATAAAACCAAACCATTTATCAGCTGTTAAGAGAAACGAGCTGTAAAACGTCAGGCTGTCACAACTGTAATGCAGGCAGCAATTAGTAAGCTTTAAAGGGGCGATGTTCCTCCTCTCCATCTTTCTTGTATGTTCCTATAAAGCTCTGGTCCTATGTAAAGCTCTGCTAGGCTCCTACCTTGGAAAGTGCATATTCAGATCACAGAGTACTTCAGTCTGGAAAGCTTCCCACCACCTTTTTAAAAATGAAAATGCAAAGATCTTTCCATTTTGACATGCTAGACACATTTCTGGAAGCAGAAACACCTCATGCCCCTAGAGACCTGAAAAGAGGAATGCGTAGCTTCAATACCTGAAGTGAAACTGCTCTGCCTCGGAGGCAACATGAAAACTCCGGCTAGAAGTTAAAAACCTATGAGTTGAAAAACTTTTCAAAAAGGCAAATCCAAAAGCCTAAGCTGTGGAGAGAGAAGTATAAACCCATACTCCTTCCCACCATCCGTCTATTCACACTGGGAGTTGCACAGTAGCGCTAAGTGTGAGGTAAAACCATCAGTAGGGTGCCTCAGACACTGCTGGTTCCCCCAGGACTCTTTTAGCTGCCTTCTGGTGGCACTCGAAGAGCTACCAAAACAAAATGATTGAATTACAGACTCACCTAGGTCAAAAAAGATCTTCAAGACCAACCATCAACCTGACCAACCAAGTCCCATCACTAAACTTTGGTGCCATGTCCACACATCTCTTAAATACCACCAGGGCTCCACCACTTCCCTGTTCCAGCACTTGACCACTCTCCGTGAAGAAATTATTTCTAATATCCAATCTAAACCTTCCTGGTTGCAACTTGAGACAGTTTCCTCGCATCCTATCACTTCTCAGCTGTAGTAAATTCTGTCCCAGATGGGTAGATGGGTGTAATTTTTAGGTAGTCCTGTGTGGAGCCAGGAGTTGGACTTTGTGGGTCCTTTCCAACTTGGGATATTCTATGATTTTATGATCCTATGACTCTATGGTTCTATGATAAATAGCCAAATCACTGCAGGAATAGGTAAGCATCATTTCCTCTCTCTGTTGCCATCCCTAAAAGAGATACCACATCGTTCTCTCACTGTAAGTGATGGACGAGTCTTCGTGGCAGAGCCAATGAAACACATCGCACCTTGAGGTCACACATGGGAAGGTATCAAAATGAATAGCTCATCACGTCTGGTGGTATACAGGATGAAAATATGTTTCCCCGTGGCTGAGCCTTGATTTTCTGTGATCTTGAAGTGCCTTTTCCTTCATCCTTTTTCCAGAAGACCACAGCTAGCTTTGTCACCTCTGCAGGGGTCCATGCTAAAAGGTCACTGCTAGATCAAAATGAATAAGCATTTTTGAGCATATTTTACCCTCAGTTGCTAACCATACCGTATTAAAGCTGTAATAAAAAGCACGCACAGTTCACCTGCATGCTTTGCGTTTATCATTTATCTCAGCCTACTGAAACCCAGCACCATTCCTCTCCCATTCAGTCACCCTGCTCTTGCTGGTTTTATACTCATCGAAGCCGCAAGAGTGCCAAAGCTGCAAGGAAATATTTAAACGCTAATTAACTTCTTAATTCTGTGTGTGGGCAGGCCCCTTCTTTCCCCCGGAGCACAACTGATTTTCGAGATATTTATTTGGGATTTCAGGGTGTTTGCATATTGTGTGCGCTCCCCGTGCATGTGTTGGTATGTGTGTGGGATGCCGCTGGCTCTATCTGCCTGCAGCTGAGCCTGCCTGACATTCCCCTTAGAGCAGGCAAGTTTTCCACTATGAAACTGAAAAAACCAATCCTCTCTCCTATTTTCTTTCAGTCCCTGGTTAAAAGCAAGTGCACGGCTGCTGCATTGAGCACCAGCAGTAGAGGTGTGCCCATCCTCCGAGCTGCAGCGAGCTGGTGGCAGTCACTCAGCAGCACCAACCCAGGTTCAGCCCGTGCAAACCCTGTGCAAGGTTTTTTTTTTCATTTTTTCCAATGAACTGAGATCTGTGAGGTGTTATTGCTGAAGCTAATCTGATTTGCTCTGGGAGGCGGCTAAGCATGTGGCTAGAATTTGTATTAGCGGTTATTAAAATTGCTTGTGTGTCCATACTCCCTTCCCCATTCAGCTTCCCCTCCACAACTTCCTTCTGCTGTGGCATGGAAGAAAAGGCTGGAGAGCAATATTAAGCCCCTAAACTGAAAATATGCCTGAAATATTTAGACATAGGCTGTGTATTTCTATGCCTGTTTCCTGCAAAGAAAGTTCATGCCGCAAACTTCAGCCCTCCAAGCATTAAAAATACTGGCATTAAGAAGAGATTCAAATATGTTTTATTTTAAAAACCCTGCAGAACTGGCTGCGGCTCAATGACACGGGTCAGAACGTGGCTTTTTCTGCCCTAAAGGAATGGAGCAGGGTTGTGAGGAGCCTGGTGCACGCCCGCTGGCAGCGGTTCCTCTGGGCACTGAAGAGCAGAGGCAGCAGGGCTTGAAGGACTTGTTGCTTCACGCCTGCCTGGCAGGAGGCTGCAGGCACCTAAGAATAGGTTGAATCAGCCCAGCTGGAGTTGTCTTCTTCATATATTCCTCTCTAAGCAAGAGCAAGGTGCTGTATGGTCCCTCTAACCTCAAACATGCCTCTTGTGGAGCTCCTACAAAGACTCACCTAGGTGCCACAAAGGACCATCCTTTGTAGATCCACATGGAGCCTGGCTTGTAAAACAGTTTTCCCTTTGATTTGCTTCATTCTGTGTGATTTATAACAATGCTTCAAGAAGAGCTCTGTGTCTAACAGGTTTCCAGTGACAGCATGGGTAAAGCTGAGCGTTGACCTTAAATGTTTTTTTCCCCCCCTTGTTGTGTTACACTTAATAGTGCGTAGTTATACTCCCCGTGTGTTGGGAGAGCAGGAAATTACACAGTAAATGTTAGCAGAGGCTGAAGAATAGGCTTTGATTATCACTTGATAAACCCCTGTAAATCCCATTAACACTGAGAGCAGTTATGTGGATATACCAGGGGAAAAAGAGACCATTTGCTCTCGAGTGCGTGTAACTAAATAAAAATTTAAGAGCATATAGTGCATAATTATATTAGACTGTAGGTTAATGCTCTTGAATGAAAAATGCCAGATGAGCTGGAATTGCTCTACAGAACAAGAGAAACTCTGGCTGCCCCTGTGTACAGAGCCCGGGAGCTCTCAGTGAATGGCCCCAGTATTCCCCGTGCTGGCTCTTTATGGGGTCGGGGGCTGATGGAAAAGGCCACATCGCCGGCTGTGACCTTTGTCAGGACCTGCAGGGCAGAAAACAATGTAGGGAAGATGAGAAGACAAGTCTTGGCACCTAAAAGCTGGCTTCGCATCCTCTGCTGAACTTCTTTCTGGTGGCACTTTACTTGCCAGAGCGACCAGCAGGCAATGGCTTAATCAGCGCCTCTCCTCACCATAGGGCAGCCTGCTGCAAGCATCACAGAAGCTCAGGCTGGAGAGCCTGGTGCCAACATCCTCTAAATTCCCACTGATACTCACCTCCAGAGCGGTGTCAGAACCGTGTGCCCAGCAGGAAGGCCGTCACCTTCCCCCTGAGTAAGAAGGCACCAACCACTGGTACCGCTGGCCCCTAACACAAAGATGACACAGCCCCAAGGAAAAAGGTCACGAAAGAGATTTGTTGTTATTTGTTTCTTCCTGAATTTAAGGAAAACAGGCTGCCAGATTCTCTGCAAATAAAGAGCATGGGACCAAGGAACACCCATCCCTGCTGCAGGTTTCACAGCCCCGTAGAAAAAAACTCTTAGGGGATTATAATTGGGTATATAAATTAATACAAGCTCCCGACAATCATTGCATTTTCTGGCAAGAGGGAACTGCTAGAAGAAAGTCCATGGGCAGGTGCACAGCCCAACTTCTCAGCGCAGACTGTCCCTTATTGCTTATAATCCTTCATGGTTTCAGAAAGCCCCAGTAACACACAAACCCAACCTTTAAAGTTTTTCCACGTGATTTATGCTCCTGTAGCCGCTGCTGGTTCACATTTCGCATCCATTTCTTGGAGGGAAAGCGGAGCTGATCTGTTTTTCATGATAAAAGAGCAGCCACCGAATTAATAGCAGGTCACTCCAACATATATTACAGCACGGTCTGGCATTTATGTGGAGAATCTCCCGTCATCTTCACCGCCACCCCCAAATGCCATAGCAACCACATTGCAAAGGGGCTGAAATGTATGCACAGCTTAACGGGCTGCTAAATGAATGCACTACTTGTTTTACCATTGTGATGATGAATTCATTTCAGCTGCACTCCCTGATTAGCAGAAAGCCTCGCTCCCACTGAAGGGAAAATAAACAAACAGCTCAGATTTTTGCATTTTTTTTTTTTTTTTTTTTTTTTTGTAATTGAGGAGTTTTGCAGAATTCAGCTGTGTGGGCAATTAACTGAAAGGACCTCAAATTATATGTTGCGCTTGCACATTAGCTTTTAGAAATGCCATAAGAAAGTAATCCTTGCAGCAAACACAGGGTTCAACCAGCAGAAGCAACACTTTGTTGAAAACTTAATACAGAACAATGCTTGTTTATTCAGCAGTGTTTGAATATTAAAGTAGCCCATGCAATTCTTCTTAAGTGTAACAAGTTTCACCGATGTTTTGTGAAGCTCAAGCAAGTCAATAATTTGCTGCAGTTAAAAATATGCAGCTAGCATTGTGATTGCTTGCAAAATAGTGGATTTTTTATTTTTTTTACATTTTCTTATAATGTTTTAAAGACACTTAAAATGTGTGCTGAAGCATCCAGCTTGTTCTTCATGTACTTTTCCCACAACTTGCTCCCCCATGAAAAGCTACCTCCAAAGACGTGGGCTTTTCTCAGATACTGCCATGCTCCCACGTTGCTACACCCACTTCCAGCTTTCCACAGCCCTTGTGTATCACATCTAGGTATTAATTATTCCATACTC